TCTGAATTTTGGATGTCGGATGATACCTCTTGGGAATAACTTTGAAATATAGCCGGGTGATTTGTCAGCAGGAATCTACATCAGCTCCAACGGGCACACGATTTATGCCCCCATGGTTTCGACAGCGGTGGCAGGCTTAAAGCAGAGGCAGGCAGAGTGTGGATACGAAGTGAAGCGGGTGGTGGAGAGAGTCGTCCGTGGGCGCCATGGGCGCCTGAAATCTGTAATCTATCCAGGAAAATTCCATGCTGGCGATGTCTGGATCCATGTTGGGAAGTGGTTGCAGGCGGACTTCTTCCGACATTGCCAGGACTTAGCATTGAAACAAGTCTACTGCATCTTGTATCAGAGCGACCCATGGGACGTCACTGCGGGTCCGGGGGTTTGCGAGATATGGGAGTACACCCATGGCAACTCTCCCAAGGCCCCAGTGGTTCGCATTTTGCCCGCTGGCTTCTTGCCACTTTGGGGGCATGAGCAGAACGATCACGAAGCGATGAAGCGTTTGAGTGAATCCAATGTGCGGAAATTGGAGTGGGTCTTCATGGGACATATCGACAAAGGAAACAGGTCGAAGTGTTGGAATCATTTGAAGAACATGCCGGAGCTAAGTCATATGACCTTTACAAACCACATTCGAGGATTCACGCAGGCCGACTGGAAGAATCTGGCAAGGAAACTTGTAAGATCTTGTTTCTGCAGAAGTTTTGAGTTTTTAGTAGCACAAAATCAATTTCCTATATCTTTGGCTTCCGACCTAACTTTTGCGGCAGTGTTCTTTCCCGGAGAATTCTGGTAGGAAGTTCTCCAGTGCTTGTTGAAATTCCATCCAATGTCAGTTTCAGTTAGACTTCAGTGATTTGCGGCAAATTTGCTCAAATTTCTTTTCGCAAATCAGGACATTTTTTCTAGAAGCTGTATATTTTTTGGAGAACAGTGGCTTCCCATTGTGCTTCACCAGTTCGTTAAATCCCAAGTGGATGAAATCCCGATTGACCCGGCCTGGTAAACGTAGCCACATATGGAAAGACATCACCAATTTCTAGCTGGGTAACTCAACTATTTCTATCAATTTTCAATGGCTATGTAACAAATTACCAGAGGGTAGATTTACCACACAATGCTTTATTCCCATGTCTGCATGGTGACCACTGCTGCTTAAATTTTCAATTTTTGTGATGGTTTGATCCTCATTTCTCTATGGTTCAGTCCCAAACATGTTGATGTTGAAATCCCTAATGTGTCAGGAAACACCAGGGCACATAATTTCAGATGGAGTTCATTCTTCCCTGTCATCAAATTCAGATGAATGCTGATGTGTTTTTTCCGCCAGTCTCAGGCTAAATCCTCGTTTGTCAGAAACATCTCTTTCTCCAATTTATGGCTAGAAATTGGAGGGAGGCCTATCCCACCGAAAAAATCCAGGACAAACCCAAATGCCATCGTTCCGCATTTTTGTGGATGGTTAAAAATCCAAATTTCTTCCATGAAACACCCTTTATATGGTAAGAACCAAGCTTTCTTGATGGCTGAAATCCCCTCCTGTTGATGATTTGGAATGGGTCGATTATGTTTTTAATCCCATTTGTTGGTTAAAAAAATGTATTCCCAAACTATTTTGTTTTTCTCGATGTAGATCATCATGTGTTGATAGTTCAGATCCCCGTTTTCTCATGCTGTCAGGTTTAAATCCATTTTTATCAAACATATAGTTTCCAGCATTTCTTGGATGCTTCTAAAGCACCTCTCTGATGGTTTGATCCTAATTTCCCCATTTTTTGATGAACCTGGTCTCACCCTCGGTGGTATACCATTAGAATTCTCCCAGTAAACCAACTTGGCCATCAAAAATGATCTATCCCCATGTTTGTTCGTTATTTCATGTTTTTTGGTTTTTAATGAACTTTTTAAATGGAGTTTCTCATCCGTGCGGTCCTTACAACGAGGAAGCAGAACGTGATCTTTTTGAACCTCCACGGAAATTGCAGTTGCCTGCCCAATCCCAACGAGCGCCTGGAGACCGTGAGAATTAGTTCGGTCTTGAGCTTTGGAGCGCTGATGATCTCGGAACCCACCAATGACGCCGAGACCGAGAGCTTTAAGGTGATGGAAGTGATGATTTTGGCATCATTTGATGGGGATTTACAGTAACAAATGTAACAACAATTGGGGGGTTTACACAATACATTGGGCAAAGAAAGAGAAATGCGGAAAAAAGATGAAAAGGTAGGATTTTCGTGAGAAAATGAGAATGATTGACTTGCTAGAAAGGTAGGATAAAGAAACCGATCGAAAATGGGTTTGCCCAGTTGGAATATGGGGATTGAACCATCAAGGAATAAAACACACAAAATGTAAATGTTCATTAAAAAACAATGGAGACTTAACCATCAATCAAATGGGTTTGTCCAAGCATTTGGGAATTTCACTGACTAAGCATTTGATGGTGATACTTTTTTGCATATCATTCATGGATGTTCATGGGATAGCCAACAATCTTAGTGATTGTCCAATAGTGGGGCATACCCCGAAAATGCAACTGGTACCTGGGGTTTGTAGGGAGACCACATGAGGACAGCTGGAAAAAGGGGGATAACACCATGGAAGTTGGATTTTGAGGTTTTTCGAAGAACATACAAGATTATAACACAACCATCAAGAAAAGCTGATTGAAGAAAATAAAATTGATACTTTGACCATCGATATTGGGATTTGCCAACAGTAAAGGAGGAAGTTACCAAAGAAAAGATGGGTACTTGGCAATCATAAAATAGGCAATGAACCAACGATAAATGGGGATTAGCCACTCAAGAGGTTCGAGGTCGACCGTGAATTAACAAGAAACATGGGGATTTGCTGTACCTGTCAAGAAATGCGGATTGCGCCAACCACAGATGAGGATTTATGATCAATTGATGGGGATCGAACAAAAAAAATGGATTTCACCAATCAATGAATAGGGATCTAGCTATCATAATGGAAGGATTTCAGCAACGAAATCCATGGATCTTTGACCATCAGCCGACCTGGTTTTCACCAAGCACCAATTGACATCGGAATCCAAGTATCACCAATTTTTTCTGCTGGGAGGACATTGTGATTTTTGAGAAGAACCTCTTTCTCAGCTACTCCGAATGGAGCCCCAAATTGAAAGATCTGCTGAGCAGCAATACCAAGATCATGGCGTTCCAGCGCCGCGCCTACGCCTTGTACAAAGAGAGGTTTGCTCCAGGAAAACTCGGAGGGGATGACCCTCCCAAGCCAAGACTCTGCGTTGTGGTTCCAGGTGAACAATAGAGATAGATTCAGATAGATCACATGTACAAAGTTATGTATTAAATATTACCGTATTTTGTGGGCATTTTTTAAAGGTACAGTAGATATTAGCTTGGTTGGCCCAACCAATGTCCTGGATTTTCATGGTCAATAAATGACAGTCGATTCGGTGGCTGAGGCGGCTTGCAAATGGGTTATAACTACCCCAAAATGCGTAGGGTGCCAAAAAAGGATGTCTACCAGTTCAATGAGCTTCACAAAAAAAAGCATGTAGAACTGGTAGGTGTCCAACAGGCAGGAATTGGCCCATACATTATCCCAGGACGCCTCCTGTCAGAGCAGAGAGTCTGGGACACAGAGCGAGGACCAGTCCACTGGCTCCTAATTTTCCCTATCAAACACTGGCAGCCACTGGGGCTACTCCGGGAAAAACTACATTTTCAGAGACCCATGCGGGAATTACTAGTTGATGATGGATGCCCCAATTCTAGGTTAACTTGGGTTTATGCTTGTATCTACAGTTGGAAGGGGTTATACACCAACAAACATAACTCGGCAGCCCCTAAGAACTGCAGATTGTGAAAAGCCTTGGAAATCTTGGCAGGACCGAATTGCTCAGGCTGAGCAAACAGATGACCACAGTCGTGGAGGACCCAAAGTTTCAGCCAGGAAATTGCCTCAATTTGATCCCCAGAGTTTTCGAAGCATTTCGACTTCTTTCTGGATGTTGGGACCAAGAGAACTGCAAGTTTGATTCCTCTTTGGCCGTGTGTTGTGCACCACAAAAACTCCGAGGTTTGGTTTAGTCATTTTAGTCAAGGACGTCTTGTTTGGGTTTCTAGACCCCTGGCGAAATCATCCTAGGGACGCGCTGCCAGCTTTCCTGTGCCTTAGATAGACCTGTTGTTGGGCCTGCGAGGAGTGGACGAAGTAGGTACATTTGAAGATTCAGCAGATCTTCGCAACAGTACTTCGGTGAAGCCCTGGTGCTTGTGAACTGAGGAGGAAACTCCAATGAAAAGCAGATGCGATGTCACTCTGGATGACTGGAATCTCAACTGAACCGCCCATGATACTGGTGATCTGGTGATGGGTACATGGTGTAGTCCCATGACCCGCGACCCTGAAGCGCTAGCACCACCGTCGTAGTGCGCAGCAGCCAGAAAAGGGGAGAGACCACCTGGCTTCCTTGGGACACAGATGAAGGTCTGACAAGAGTGACAATTCTGTCGGGCTTTTTTTGGTTGAGATTTATCGAGGCTGAAAAATAGGAGCATTTGGAGGCCCCATCTGGTTTTGGGCCAAGCTGTGGGCCAGTGGGGATCCCAATGAACCCTGGCTCGAGGACACAAGCCGCTGAGCTGGCTCGAAGCCATCGGTTCGCATCACAAAGCATGGCCGGTTCAACAAGGATTTCCCAAGGGAGAACAGCACAGATCTTCCACAGATCTTCCACAGAGTCCAGTCTTCCAGGGAATCCTTGATCTTTGCCCTCAAAATCTTTGATGTGTAGCCCATAGATTTGAAATTTGGCTTGACTCTTGACTGCAACCATCTCCAGCATACGGTAATAGCATGTAATAGCAATACCACTAGAGTGCTGTAATCACCAACTGGCGGCAGGATGTCGTTTTCAAACCAAGGGTGGGACCATGAAGGCTTTCAAAAAAAACATCTGGGAAACCCAAGCCATCTTGAGTTGATTTTGTGGCTGGGAAAAGTCCCGGCCCTGCGCCAAGCAAAGTGCCACTGGGCCCATGATGGAGCGTCATGCGACGGTCCAACGGAGCACCTCAAAATGTCGCCCGGCTCTGCCTGCTCTGGTTACCAGTTATGACAGTGGTTCCAGAGGATGATCTCACCCCTGCCACAGCTTCCGAGGTCAGTCGCGCCAGCTGCGATGTGGTGAAGGTTGCCTTTGGACTGGCCGCGCTGCTGAGCGTGCTGCTGAACTTTGCCGTGGTGCGGTGGATGTTTCAGGGAATTTTCATTACACCGGGCATAGCATGGCATAGCAGGTGAGAAGTGTGCTGCCAGGTGGTGCTATCTCCACTGTTTCAATTGGCTTGCGACCTGGAGGCTGGTGAACGGGAAGAAGTTTGTGGGGGAATGGACCATCTTCAGATATCTTCAGCATACGTATTCTTGACCTTGTAGTCCTATTTGAAATGTAGTTAGTTAGAGATCATTTGAATCCCTTTATCCTGCAATTTGACGATTCTGAACCAACTAATCAAAAAAAGGGGGTTAACCAAAAACGGACCACTGACTGCACAAGCCTGTTTGACCTGTATCAATTGGCCCTATGCAACGTTAAGTGACTGTCAATTGCGAAAGGCTTGGGTATTTGGGGCGCAAGGGCTGCTTATTACCCCTAAAAATGTGTAAAATGAAAATCTGCTTATTACTGTTGTCCCCAGACACTGGGTCACGTCTTCAATTGTTTCGGTATAGTTTATCATAGCGATGGTCTCCTCTGATCATCCTGCCTTTTCCTTTGAAAACCTCTTGTTTTCGTGTGTTTTCTTGAACTATATAATCTAGTTGAGTTGTTCTGGGTTGTTAAGTTGTCAAGCCATCAATCAAGAGTCGGCCGCAACAAACGTATGACGCCGACGAACCACCACTCAGATTGATCATGACACCACAATGAACAGCTATCAGTCCGTGATAGTTGCTATTGGCTATTGTATCAACGGTATACGCTGAGAACTGAGTTTGTTTGAAGATAGGGTAGCCAAAACATCCAACGGAAGATCAAGGCTTTTCTCAATCTGCGGCTCAGTTCATGGACTCCCCTGTTCAACAAACTCGCTTAATTTCTGGATGTTCCTCCAGTCTGAAGAACATCCTACAAGGTGGTGCCCCCCAAGTTATGTTTGTTGGTTTGTAATCCCATGAAAACTAGTTCGATATATCACCAACAAAACTATGGTTATAAGTTGGTTTATAATCCCATTAACTATAGATATATCACATAAATCCTATAAACCATAGCTATTGGAGTTATAAACCCATCACTTTCATCCCCATCCCTAGGAGCCTGGCCGAGCGCCACGGCCGCCACGGCGTCTGGCCGAACGCCTTGGGCCTGGTCGCGGGCGCGTCAGCGAGGAGGGCCCGGCACGAGCGTTTTTTGGGTGGTTGACCCCCATAGAAATAGCGGTAAAAAATGGGGATTTCATGCGATTGTGTGGTGATTTAATGATTTTCATGGGATCTTATGATGATTCGGATTGGGATGTAACCAACAAGAGATATTTTTATGGGAAATAGCCTCTGGTAATTTGACATATCTATGGACAATGGCCAATTTATAGATGATTTACCTATTAAAAGTGGCAATTTATATGTCGTCTTTAGGGTCTGAAACGGGGTCAAAAAAAATTGTGACGCGGATGGCAACGGAAAATCCTCCATGAAAACCGGGGTCAATTCTGCCAGGTTAGATAAAAACACCGTGGGTATCTGATGGGAAACTGATTTTCCAAACCTACTTACTCTGTCAGGTTCCATGTGAGTTTCGAGGCTAGTTATGAGGTTCAAAAGGTGAAGCTGGACCCTGTCCGATTTCAGGCGTGGTCCTCTCTGGAGCCCGTCGACTTTGATTCGCTGCGGCTGCTTCCGAACAGTGTCTGGGAGCCCAAGAGGGTTTGAGCCCATGATTCTTGTTGGTTCAAGGGATCAATCCCGGTGAATCACCATAAAATCCGATTAATGTATATTAATGTTACCACACAATCCCTTCTGAAATCCAATTTTTCAGGATTTTAGAGGAAAATGGATAGAAAGGGGGATATGACCCAACTCTTGTGGCAACCGATTCGGAGAAATAGACTGCGTTCTGTTGAGTATCTCACCAGACTGGGAAAAAGCAATGCCACCTGACAAAACACTAACCAAAACCCGTCTGATTCCATGGAAATTCTGCTACGAGTGGATTATATAGTGCTCAATGTTGCCAACTGTTTATTGCTTGTTGACATCCTGGAATTCTTCTCGAAGTAAACTCCAGGTCCGTCCAGGATCGCCTAACTTTTATAATCAGTAAGGTTCCCCGCAACTGGTGAGTTCATTTTGATAAGAAAAAGGTCCTCATACCTGGTTGGTGATACACGTATATATATATATATATACATATTATATATATATACGTTATGGGTTATATAAATGTTTTATGAATTTTGTTATATATATAATATACATATTTATCTATGTAATGGGTTATATTAGTCTTGTTTCCAAGCATCTCCAAGGGCTCATCCATGGTGGCTAAAGTCATCCCTTTCTTACGATCGAGGAGTTAGAAGCCGCAGCGCGGAAAGCGCCGCGGTGGCTCTTCTTTGGCCTGTCGTCAGTGCATCGAAAACAAGCTGTGCCTCGGATGGATCGTAGCAAAAACACCTGGGGAAAGGATGGGCCATGATGGCTTTTTCATCAGCAAAAAAAAGCGTGTCGCACGAAGAATGGTGGTTTTTCCATGTTGTTGAAAAAACTATGGGGATTTTTAGGCTGACATGGGGAGTGTTATTTTGTCTCTCATGAAGGATAGCAACACAACAAGAATTGTACCAGCTACATCCACCAAAACTTGGCTCGGTAGACCATCCCATTGGGGCCCTTGAAAGGCCCGGTTTCAATCGTCACTGACGGTGCCCCGCCTGTCGCAGGAATACCTGGGTATCACGCTGTCCCATTTGTTCGACGCCTTAGGCGAATCTACGGACACAGGTCGAGGGGGAAACCTGACCAGGAGAGCTTCCCACTCCACAAATGGATAAACACACGAGTCAATGACTCATAGAATTTTGGCGAATTTTGAGTGCATCACCATTTTTCATTGAACACACAGAATATACATGACCTAGTGGGAAGAACAGAAAAGCTGGTTTTGCCTATGGTGATGAGATGCTGGCTTTTTTTCAAGGGATTTCTTCAAATTTGGGTGTCATCTTTCAACTGACCCTTTCACTGCGGCCTGGCGCAGGTCTTGTGGTACACCTTGCGGATTTTGATGAAAATTGGGTCAGTGGCATAGTGGCATTGTGGATCTCCCGGAGCGTCACAAGATTCGCTTGGCGGGTCCTTCTGCACGAAGTTTTTTTGGCGTTTTTTTCACAGATTGTCATCCGCAAGCACATTGAACAACGGCCGAGGTGTTCCAAAGTCGAGATTGGCTGAGAAATGCTTTTGAAGATGAAGTGCAGGCGGTGTTGACGTGAATATCATCGCAGCTTATTGGTGACTCACTTTCGGCTTTCCAGATCATCATCGTCGACACAAAGGGTGGATTTCCAGGCCAAACTGTGTTTATATATATAATATACATATATATATATATAGATCCAGTTTGTTTGGATTCTATATAGTATACATAGATATAGATATAGATACAGGTATATGTATACATACACACACATGTATATATATATATAAACATAAATATGTATATATTGTTCATATATAATCTAATATGTATATGAATGATTACAACGGCGATAAACCCCAATCATCCCTGGCGTCTCCATCTGGGAAGGCCAATCGCCTTCACGTCATCCACGCACCGGAGCGCTTGTACCCGGCCAAAGAGCAGGCTGTTGGGGTTGAAATCTGTCACGGCCCTTATGGTTTGTAACTTATACCTATCATAAGGAGATACTTTATCATTGACACAAACCTATAGGTAAAGATGATGACGCAACAACACTTATGGTTTATTGTATGACTTATGTATATACTGAAACACATCAGTTTAGAATGAAAACTGCCCTCCATTTAGTTGACTACATCAATGGCACCTCGTGGCCCAGATCATGAAAAACACCAAGTATGGCGATCCACCCTTGAGACAGTGGTGGCAGGGAGCCTCAGTCTGCACATCCGGAGATTTGAAGAAACAGCTCCTGTTTCTCTGAAGTGGGGTACCCCTAAAATCCTAAAAAGACCGAAATCTGTCCTTTTTCAGGACAGCCCCACCTCCATGAAGTTGGGAAACACTACCCGACTACTCGACTACCCGACGACCCCGTACAGTTTCTATGGTCACCTTAGGCGAGCGAAGCAAAACTTAGATTATGCCTTTCTCATGTGGCCTGCTTCTCAGTGGGCAATCTGGTGTCGATTGGGACTTGTTGATAGCCAAAGATTGGCTAGAAACCCACTGAGCCTCAGTTTTTTTTCTGGCCGTTTTGACATCGATTGTGATAGTTTCCATGCCAACACAATTGGTACTCTAAAGATCTATGTTGGAATGGTTACACTATGTTCATATTCATATAAACATGTCAACTATGGGATAGTTTCCATATCAACATCAGTTCTAGTTTCCATTCCTTCAAACATCTAGCGTCGTTCCTCAAAAATCGTCGCAGGTATGCCTCAGGCCTGGCCAAATACTACATGCAACTGGAAGATGATGTGCAGGCGATTTTTGGGACACTTTTCAGCTGGAAAATCATAGGAAGAACATGAGTTTTCCCATAGGAAAGGATAAGAAAACGTCGGGAAATCCGTGGCTTCGCCATGGAGGTTGCTGGGATCGAAGTAATGGGGGTTGCTGGTCCAGCTAGCCACTTTTTTAACAGAGGAGGCTAAGCCTACTAGGCTTCCAAGCAACAATTCTGTTGTGTGATTGGTGAAGAGTATCGATCCTCACGGCCTCAGACTAAAAAAATAATGCGGGATGAACTCGTTGACTTACCAGCCATTTTTTTGGGTCAACAAGACAAGATACCAGCATATTAACCCGTACACATATTCATTCAGCCTGTAAGAAAATTGTTGGAAATGGGCCAGACACTTTGCGATTAGGGCACAGCTAAACTGACACCAATTGTGTGGAGAAACCTAATCAAGACCCACACAATTTTGAACAATTTCTTCTGAGTCATGGTGATTTTGCCGGAATCTGGATAACAGCCCCTTGGTTTCACAATGCCTTGTTTAGAATTTTGACCACAGCGCAAGTGGAGTTCATAGGTCAAAATTGTTGATCTTTGCCAAGGCTTGTTGCGAGCAGCAAGTCGTGCTGGCTTACATCCTGATTTGTATCCCAAAGTCCGCCATCCCTTTGTGAGTTAGTTGGCATCACCGTAGCCTCGGCAGGTGACTCCGAGCTTTCTTCCAACGGTCCGGAGGTTCATGAACGAGTCGGCAGCTGAGAACTCCGGTGGCCGTCCAGTGAGTTCACCATTGGCCGGTGCTTGAAACTAAGAATTGATATGTAAGGCCCCCGGATTTATTCAGCCAAACAAAATATACATGACTTTTTTGCCCCACATATCCAGTAAAGTTCAATAATCACAATATCCACATATCGCCACGTTGTGGCTTTTTCGGTGGCTTCACCGTGCCGAAAAATCCAGGAAGGTGACGGGCGACGCCTGGGTGATGGCCGCCTTCTCGAAGCTGGGCTTCATCGGCAAACTCTTCGATGCAGCCAGGTCTTGGGGCCTGGGGATGGCCTGGGGATGGCCTGGGGATGGGATTTTTATAGGGTGAAATCGCCAAAACGAGAGGAAAAAACATGAAAAAACCAGGGAGGAATGGGGGGGATCTGATCAATCTGATCAACAGAATATCAAGAGAACACGAAAACGGATGCGTCCGCCGATCAACCGACCTGGGAGGCTTCCGAAATTGGCAGAGTTCCTGTTGATCTACCATGCTGAGGCACCAGGGCTGAGATAGGTGACTGCGGGAGTCGGTTGATTGTTTGGTCACTTGGTGAACTATCCGAACCCAGGAAATTCAAAATAGGTTGAGTTTGAAGCTCATCTTTGTTCAAGGAGAGCCCTGCCTGCCTCTGTCACCGATGTCCATCCATTGGACCAGCTGACCCTTCGCGACCGTGGCAGCGAAGGCACCTTGCGATTGGTTGGTGTGGATCTTCATCGATGCTGCGTGGGAGCTTAATGACGTGGCGCAATGGCTATGGCTGAGGCACCATTTGAATCCCCCTCTAGATCAAAGTATGCTAAAGTATGATCCAGCATGAAACCAACGGGAGAGAACTGAGTTGCGATTTTCGAATATTTTAGATGTATAAGATGGAAAGTATTTGATTTGGTGATAGATGTTTAATATGTAGAACCTGAGTTTCCTGACAGATACCAAGGCCTCTTCGCAACCAGTGACTGCCATGATCCCCCAGGCAGGGTCAAGGCCTTTGGGGTTCCAGAAATCCATCATTTCTGGGCTAAACAACCATGACTCTTGGGGCTAAAAAGGCATGGTTTCTTGTGACATTTTCGACAAATTGGTTGGGATCTTTTCGCCCAACTTCAAGGCCATGACGGTTGGCATGAGATTTTGTGAAGGGCACCGGGTTGGTTCAACCATTCTCGCAGGATTTGGAGGATGAATTCAACCAGCGCGAATCTGCCAAGAAGAACCCCAACGCACGGTGCCTTAAAATGTTGTGGAACCACCATATTCAAAGGTTTTTTTTTGCTTCATAAAGAACTATGAAGTATTTTGATTTATACATTTGCTTTATTTACATATATATATATATTATGAAAGACGTTTTTGGCCTGTGGGGTAGGGTCTCTGTAAACGGGCTTGGAAACCAGGTGTTTTCTGCAAAAAGGTGTTTTTTTTCTGTTTTCAGCAAAATCAAAGAAACCACATTTTTTTACCATTTTCCATGAAATGTCAGATTTGGCCCAATCCAGATGGCTACAAAACTTGGTTTTTGGCCGTTTTCACTAGAATCCTGAAAAATGGAATTATCGATTTTTCCATTTTCCAGAGATTTAGAGAAAACCCGTTTTTTTCCAAGTTTTGATGGTTTCCGGGCCTGTGAGCTACTTTTCTGTCGAGACCAGCAATCGTGAATAAGAAATATAAAAGCTGAAACAAAAAACAACGGTGGTTTTTAAATGTCAGTCAAGGTGATTTTGCTTGCTACTCGCTGAGAAACCTTGAGTTTGTGTGTAAGAGTGTGTCAATTTATATATATATATATATAATTATATATATATATATACATATATATATTGCCTGTTTGTGGCAACAGGCTCCATTTGTGTGAGCTTCCTTTCTATGAAATGAAGCTGCTGTGGGAGTTCCCACCCTAAAAGCACTATAGCAGCACCTCTTGAAACGGTTGCGATTTGGATTATGTTGATGGTGGGCTGTTGATGGAAATCATTCTGATGATTTCAGTTCCGATTGGTGCTGTCGGCTCCCACAATGTGTTTGGTTCCTGCTTGTGGCGATGAGGTCGTGCTGGTGCTGGTGCTGCTGGTGCTACTGGTGCTGCTGGTGCTGGTGGTCGCGGTGGTGGTGGCCGTGGTGGGGGTGGTGGGGATGGTTGGGATGGTTGTGGTGGTGACGGAATGGGACATGATGGGCTTGGTGTGATAGCGGTGATGCTCATTCTGATGTTGGTGGTGATGGCGGAGGTGGTGTGATGGTGCGGATGGTTCAGAGGGTGGTGTTCCAGGCGATGGCAATAGTGGTGTTGGTGATAATCTTGTCGGTAAAAATGATGACGTCAATGGCGGGCGGCAATGGCAGTATTGTTGATGATGGCGCTGCTGTTGGTGGTATTCTGGTGGGGGTGGTGGTGATCATGCACGTAGTGATGTCGATGATGCTGGTGCTTTTGATTCCTTGATTGGCGTTTTCCGTTCCCACAATGTTTTTTTGTTCCTGCTTGTGCCGATGGTGCTGCTGATGCTGATGCTGATGCCGATGCTGATGCTGATGCTGATGCTGATGCTTGTGGTGGGGATGGATGGTGGGGATGAATGGTAGGGACGGTGCTGCTGGTGCTGAGGGTGGTGGTGGTCGTGGTGGGGATGGTGTGGTGGTGACGGTATAGGTGGACATGATGGGCTTGGTGTGATAGTAGTGATGCTTATATTCTGATGTTGGCGATGCTGGCGGTGAAGGTGATGGTGGTTTGGGTGACAATCTTGCTGGTGAAATGATGACGGTGATGATGGTGATGATGGTGATCATGGTTTTGATGGTGATAGTGATGAAGTTGGTGATGGTGATGATGGTACTGCTCGTGGTGGTGCTTCTAGTAGGGGTTGTGATGGGTGGTGATATTGGTGATGTTGGTGACGGGCCTGCTGCTGCTGGAGATGCTGGCAGTGGTATTCAGGTGGGGTTGGTTGTGATCATGCACATGGTGATGTTGATGATGTTGGTGCTTTTGATACCTTGATTGGTGCTGTCGGCTCCCACAATGTGTTTGGTTCCTGCTTGTGGCGATGAGGTCGTGCTGGCTGCTGGTGCTGCTGGTGCTGGTGCTGCTGGTGCTGGTGGTCGCGGTGGTGGTGGCCGTGGCGGGGGTGGTGGGGATGGTTGGGATGGTTGTGGTGGTGACGGGAATGGGACATGATGGGCTTGGTGTGATAGCGGTGATGCTCATTCTGATGTTGGTGGTGATGGCGGAGGTGGTGTGATGGTGCGGATGGTTCAGAGGGTGGTGTTCCAGGCGATGGTGATAGTGGTGTTGGTGATAATCTTGTCGGTAAAAATGATGACGTCAATGGCGGGCGGCAATGGCGGTATTGTTGATGATGGCGCTGCTGTTGGTGGTATTCTGGTGGGGGTGGTGGTGATCATGCACGTAGTGATGTCGATGATGCTGGTGCTTTTGATTCCTTGATTGGCGTTTTCCGTTCCCACAATGTTTTTTTGTTCCTGCTCGTGCCGATGGTGCTGCTGATGCTGATGCTGATGCTGATGCTGATGCTGATGCTGATGCTTGTGGTGGGGATGGATGGTGGGGATGGATGGTAGGGACGGTGCTGCTGGTGCTGGTCTTGTCGGTGAAAATGACGACGGCCATGATAGTGATCATTTATTTTGATGGTGATAGTGATGAAGTTGGTGATGGTGATGGTGGTGCTGCTCATGGTGGTGATTCTAGTAGGGGTTGTGATGGGTGGTGATGACAATAGTGGTGATATTGGTGACGGGCCTGCTGCTGCTGGAGATGCTGGTGGTGGTGGTTCTGGTGTGGCCAATGGCGGGCGGCAATGGCGGTATTGGTAATGATGGCGCTGATGTTGATGGTATTCTGGTGGGGTTGGTTGTGATCATGCACGTGGTAATGTTGATGATGCTGGTGCTTTTGATTCCTTGATTGGCGTTTTCCGTTCCCACAATGTTTTTTTGTTCCTGCTTGTGCCGATGGTGCTGCTGATGCTGATGCTGATGCTGATGCTGATGCTTGTGGTGGGGATGGATGGCGGGGATGATGGGGATGGTGGGGTGGGGATGGTGGGGATGGATGGTAGGGACGGTGCTGCTGGTGCCGCTGGTGCTGCTGGTGTTGCGGGTGCTGGTGCTGCTGGTGCTGCTGCTGCTGCTGCTGGTGCTGGTGCTGGTGGTGGTGGTGGTGGTGGTGGTCGTGGTGGGGATGGTGTGGTGGTGACGGGAATGGTGAACATGATGGGCTTGGTCGGCTTGGTGTGATAGTGGTGATGCTTATATTCTGATGTTGGCGATGATGGCGGTGAAGGTGGTGATGGGGGAGGTGGTGATGGTGCGGATGGTTCGAGGTGGTGTGCCAGGCATGGTGCTGTTGGTGTTTGTGACAATCTTGTTGGTGAAAATGATAATGGTGATGATGGTGATCATGGTTTTGATGGTGATAGTGATGAAGTTGGTGATGATGATGATGATGATGATGGTACTGCTCGTGGTGGGGATTCTAGTTGGGGTTGTGATGTGTGGTGATGACAATAGTCGTGATATTGTTGATGTTGGTGACGGACCTGCTGCTGGTGGAGATGCTGGCGGTGGTGGTTCTGGTGTGGTCAATGGCGGGCGGCAATGGCGGTATTGTTGATGATGGCGCTGCTGTTGGTGGTATTCTGGTGGGGGTGGTGGTGATCATGCACGTAGTGATGTCGATGATGCTGGTGCTTTTGATTACTTGATTGGTTCTTTCCGTTCCCACAATGTTTTTCCCGAGAGCGCCTGCGAAGGGTTCTTCGTAAAAAAGCAGCCGTAATACTACATCTTCACACCTTCACATCTGCTGATCTACATCTTCACACCTTCACACCTGCAGATCTAGATCTTCACAACTTCACACCTGCAGATCTAGATCTTCACACCTTCACACCTGCAGATCTAGATCTTCACACCTTCACACCTGCAGATCTAGATCTTCACACCCTCACATCTGGACATCTAGATCTTCATACCTTCACACCTGCAGATCTAGATCTTCACCCTCACACCTGCAGATCTAGATCTTCACACCCTCACATCTGCAGATCTAGACCTTCACACCTTCACATCTGCAGATCTAGATCTTCACACCCTCACACCTGCAGATCTAGATCGTCACACCCTCACACCTGCAGATCTAGATCTTCACACCCTCACATCTGCAGATCTACATCATCACATCCTCACATCTGCAGATCTACATCTTCACACCCTCACATCTGCAGATCTTCATACCTTCACACCTGCAGATCTAGATCTTCACACCCTCACACCTGCAGATCTAGATCTTCACACCCTCACATCTGCAGATCTAGATCTTCACACCTTCACATCTGCAGATCTAGATCTTCACACCCTCACACCTGCAGATCTAGATCTTCACACCCTCACACCTGCAGATCTAGATCCTCACACCCTCACATCTGCAGATCTACATCATCACATCCTCACATCTGCAGATCTACATCTTCACACCCTCACATCTGCAGATCTACATCATCACACCCGCACACCTGCAGATCTAGATCTTCACACCCTCACACCTGCAGATCTAGATCTTCACACCTTCACATCTGCAGATCTCTTCTCGCTCTTCTTCTATTCTCTCTTAAGGCGGGGGCGGTGCCGCCGGAGCGCCCCGAAACGCAACCCTTTCGCACGAAATGGACGTTGGACGTCCAAAACCTAGGTAAAATTGCGATTTTGAAGCGTCGCCGGCAACCCTTTCGCACGAAATGGACGTTGGACGCCAAAAACTGAGGAAAAATTGCAACTTTTATTGGTCGCACGCAACCCTTTCGCACGAAATGGACGTTGGACGTCAAAAACTGAGGAAAAATTGCAACTGAGGTGTCGCGCGCAACCCTTTCGCACGAAATGGACGTTGGACGTCAAAAACTGAGGAAAAATTGCAACTTTGAGGTGTCGCGCGCAACCCTTTCGCACGAAATGGACGTTGGACGTCAAAAACTGAGGAAAAATTGCAACTTTGAGTTGTCGCGCGCAACCCTTTCGCACGAAATGGACGTTGGACGTCAAAAACTGAGGAAAAATTGCAACTTTGAGGTGTCGCGCGCAACCCTTTCGCACGAAATGGACGTTGGACGTCAAAAACTGAGGACGACTTTGAGTTGTCAATCGCAACCCTTACGCACGAAATGGACGTTGGACGTTAAAAACTGAGGTAAAATTGCCATGGACGCTTTCGTTTGTGTAAAAGTGCCTGTGTGTAAAAGCGTCTGTGTGTAAAAGCGTCTGTGTGTAAAAGCGTTTGTGTGTGAAAGTGTGTGTGCGTGTAAAAAGCATCTGCGTGTAAAAGCGTCTGTGTGTAAAAGCGTCTGTGTGTAAAAGCGTCTGTGTGTAAAAGCGTTTGTGTGTGAAAGCGTGTGTGCGTGTGTCAAACTCATGAGTGGCATTCTCAGTTTGGAACGCAGCGAACAAATCCTTTGCAGTGGATTGTGCAACTCTGCAGCGACAAGCATAGTTTACCTCTTTACCTCTTTCCTTGGCTCAGATGTGAACGTAGAGACAAGATGCATTGTGTACAGAGTGAACATCCATATTCTTATATGTACGCTGAATGTTCGTGAAACAAGTGATGATTGGCAAACAGGTATCTTGAACATTTCTTGGACTTCTCGAGGTTTCTGTGGGGGCTGTCCGTGAGATCTCGAGAATTGCATTGTGACAATGTCAGTGTTTGTTCACGATGCAGTGGATCTATGTAAGTATAGCACGAAAAAAATATATGTAATGTTTTCATTGAAATGCATGAGCAGTGGACAAAAAATACTATGCGGGCCGATCCAGACCTGCCGCCATTTTTAAGTCGGGACCTTATTCCCGAGAGCGCCTGCGAAGGGTTCTTCGTAAAAAAGCAGCCGTTATACTACATCTTCACACCTTCACATCTGCTGATCTACATCTTCACACCTTCACACCTGCAGATCTAGATCTTCACACCTTCACACCTGCAGATCTAGATCTTCACACCTTCACACCTGCAGATCTACATCTTCACACCTTCACACCTGCAGATCTAGATCTTCACACCCTCACATCTGGACATCTAGATCTTCATACCTTCACACCTGCAGATCTAGATCTTCACCCTCACACCTGCAGATCTAGATCTTCACACCCTCACATCTGCAGATCTAGAT